ATTTTCGTTCTTGTATCTAAAGAGTTTATTATTTTCATTTTCGTTCTTGTATCTGAAGAGTAATTTGGAAGTCATTTTTATTTTGTTCATTTTCATTCCGGTATTTGACAAGTACTGGTGGTAATGTATATTTTCTTCATTTTCATTCTGGTATATGTTATTATTTCATTACCTGGAACATATGCAAAGTAAACAATGTCAAATCGGCTTTTCATTTAATCAGCTCAAAAAATTAATATGAATGTAATCAACTACAGTTTTTGTCATTCTTTAAGTATGAATTTTTAAATCAAAGAACTTTAAAATACAAATATTTGTTACAAATAGAAAAATGTACAATCATTAAGCGTAGTTGAAATAGGTTTAAAGTGAGGAAGAGGAAATGTAGAGAGAGCATGAGAGAGAGAGAGAGAGAGAGAGAGAGAAAGAAATAGAGAGATAGAGAGAGAGAGAGAGAGAGAGAAGGGCGTGTAATGAGTGGGGTGACACCAGTAATTATAAGAAAGAGGAACAAAAACGAGAACTGGACCTGAAAACACGCTAGCTATACAAAACACAACGGTTGGTTGAAGAATATTGTTCATGAGATAATGCATCAATGAGACATGATTATTTTGATTATTCATCATAACCCTGTTGATTGTTATAAGTAGCTCAGGTAGTAATAAAAAAAAATAGGCCTTTTCGTTTACGAGGTACAAAACTTTAGTCAACCTTCATTAAAAACTGACAAGTCAAAAGCTTTTTAGATAGCAAATGAGGCTAGTTATAATATGAATAATCATTCATTTTCCATGTGTGAAAATCATAAAGGAACATGGGCAATGATAAGCTTTGATTCTATCCTTCTCTAATGCTTAATATGTTATGTTAGCGAAGTCCTTATAAGGACATGGGCATTGATAAGCTTTGATTCTATCCTTCTGTAATGCTTAATATGTTATGTTAGCGTACTACTTATATTATAACAACATATTGTGTCCTCATGCTGAAGATGAAATGGTTATTACTGCAGTTGGTATGTTCATGTATAAATGTAAAAATCGCTTATTCCCTCGTTATATTACTGATCTATTTCCTATAAATGCAAGTATTCACTCTTATCAAACTCGGTCTTCTAATGATTTTCATTTCCCTAAAATACGTACATCCTATGCAAAATCTACTTTATTTTTACCGGCCCAAAACTGTGGAGTTCTTTACCAAATGAAATAAAAAACTCAGTGTCACTCCAATCTTTCAAACGCAAATTAAAAAAACACTTGATAAATTCATACCGTAATCAACTACAACGTTAGTAGAGCTTCTTAACCCGTCCTTTCTTTCTTTATATACAAATTTACTTTGCTTTTTTTTTTTGTTTAACGCAATTATTCAATTGTTATTTAATGTATTAAGATTATATTTAATTGATCATGATGGGTGCCAACGCACTTAAGACTATTTTCCTGTCTTCCAGTTGGCTCCTTCCGCAATAATAACATGTTCTATATCATTACACTTTAATCAATCACTTATGCTCATTTTCCTCTTTGTCAATGTTACTGTAAATGTTCACATTTTGTTTTGGTATTTGTTGTTGTTATTGTATATACATGTATATATCTGCTATATGTAATGTACATCTTTGTACTTTTATTATTGTGGAAAATAAATGAATTACTGAATTACTGAATTACTGATCTATACAGGTAAGACAATGTACAAAGGACGAACTGAGATAAGAACAGCGTGCATAGGAATAGGTCTCGACCCATACCAATCATGATATAGCTGTTTTAAAGTCTCGCCAAGAGATGACGCTCTGCTATGTTGTCGAATAGATAGGTTGACTAATGTATGAATGAGTTTGAGATGGTGCGCTAAACTCACATATCCCTGCTTCACTCTTGAACGCTCGGACATAATAATAGATGACTAGCTAGCAGACGATCACAAAATACTTGTAACGTAATCACAATATGTCGTTCAGGTTTAATTTGAAATTGATGATCAGTCGATATGCTCTGTAATGGGGCAAATACGGATTTTGATTAAAAAAAACCTTTACCACACAACCGTGGTTATATTTTACTTACTGATATTACACAAGTAAAGTAAATTCATAGATACCTCTACTCATACAAGATATTCACAACGTACACCCCTACAACAATGCGAAGAACACCGTCTACAGAACAGCGTATAGATGCAGGGGAATAAAATGTAGAACTGACAGGTGGCGTCAAAGTTCATAAACAATGTTTCGTAAGACTACCGAATAATAAATGATATTGAACTCATTTAACAGACATACTTATGGAGGTATGCCAAGGCTCAAGACTGAAATATGTAATATAGCTGATTATTATAACTGAAGTAGGATTATACACTGTCGCTCATTTAGTTAAAATATTACTTTTTTTACCCCAATTTATGGAAATATTTTGACAATGATTTAATCCTAATAGATCTAGATAAAAGTATACAAATAGTTATTATCTGTTGAGCTATAATTGACTATCGAGTATAGTTATAGAAGAGAAGTGGATCTAGATCAGACGACAGTGATGGGAGAGGCCGAAGGAAAAAGGAACAGAGAGAGAGAGAGAGAAAGAGAGAGAGAGAGAAAGAAGGGATTGCGTGCCTAGACTAAAACCGAACAATGGCAAATTGTGGTCTGAATAGATTATCAGATTGAGTACATGAAAAGAATATCATCAACTTTGATCTCCATATCATAATGCATGACTTGATTTTACACTCTATCAGTATGTTGTTATAATCGGGTAAGCTATGAAGGTATGACGTAGTGGTTAGGGAATATGTGGCTGTACTGGGTAGATAGAAAGGCATGGTTTATATGAGCATAGGTTCGTGTTGACACGTGTTGACACTAGAAAGGTGTATGGCATAACCGACATACCGAGAGACTGGGTATGTGACAGAGACAGAAAGAGGCTTTGAGAGAAAGAGTGAGAGAGAAATGGATTGAGAGAGGAGAGAAGGGAATGGGGAAAAAAGAGTGAAAGAGAGAGAGAGAGAGAGAGAAAACAAGAGGGGGAGCGTTAGTACTTATATATTTGCTATAACCCCTCTATAAGGTAGAGATATAACATAGGAAGTGGATCTAGATAACTTAAAGTGACTCGGTATTAAACATTTTTGAAGGTTAATGAAAAAAATGGTATAATTTGTGTACGAAATGTTACTTATTATATTCCTTGTACTGTACAAACCCTCTAACAGGCAATAATGGCTTTAATGCATCAATCGTTCTTCCACTTTTTTCCACTAAAATTGTCATTCTCATTCCTCTTTCTTTCTTCCTCTCTTCCTCTCCCTAATTTTTTCTATCCAGCTCTCTCTCTCTCTCTCTCTCTATCTTCCTTTCTCTCTCTGTCTTTCATTCTTTCTCCTTCTCCTCTCTCTATTTCTGTCTGTCCTCCATTCTCTCTCCCCATCTCTCTATTGTTTCTCTCTCCTCCATTCTTTCATTGTAATACTCTCTCAATAGACTCACATACTGACACCCACACACACGCCCCCATATCCGTTAACAAGCACAAATCTAAATACACTGCAAAGTACATTACCCTCCACAACTGAGTTACATCCCTAAAAACACAACAAACATGAACATTGATGCAAAGAGTCCCTGGTTAATAAAACAAAAGGTTCGGATATTTTAGCTGCGCACGATCGCCCGTAGTCTAAACCAATTATAAGTATCCCCTACCGCCCCTTTCCCGGCTCGATCGGACGGTAAAGAAATGCATTGTTTCTCTCATATGTCACTCACAAATGTCATGTTCAAAATTAATGAACTATAATTTCAAATGAGAGAGAGAGATAGAGAGAGGGGTTGGGATAAGGAGAACGAAAGACGAATAAAGAGAGAGAGAGAGAGAGAGAGAGAGAGGGAAAGAGGGTATTGCGTGCCTAGACTAAAACCGAACAATAGCTAATTCTGGTCTGAATATGTTATCAGATTGAGTACATGAAAAGAATATCATCACCTTTGACCTCAATATCATAATGCACGACTTGATTTCACACTCTATCAGTATCAATGTTGTAATACTCGGGTAAGCTACGAAGGTATGGCGTAGTGGTTAGGGAATATGTGGCTGTACTGGGTAGATAGAAAGGCATGGTTTATATGAGCATAGGTTCGTGTTGACACTCTATACTGGAACGCGTTGTGACAGATGAGAATTTTAAAGTTTGAAGATTTTACAATGATGTGTATTTACACTGCACTCTTCGCATGCTACTTTTAATTTTTCACGGAAAGGAAAAAGAAAGAAAGAGAGAAGAAAAAAAACACCGTCTCTCTAATTCTCCATCTATTAGACTCTGTACACTCTCCGCTCTGTCCCCTTTACTTTAATATTTAAAAACGTGATATTTATTAATTTCACACACACAGATTTCATGCTCATTACAGCAATATGCCTCATTTTTCTCTGTATGTTGTGTCATTCCATTGGATTTAAAATACAAGCTTCTTTCATTGAAACGTTTTAATCTCTTGCCCGCAAGCTATTTGTATAAGTATCTATTTTGTACAAACTACAATGCATCCCTTCTGCTCCTGAATATAAATACATGTTTTCGTTAATAAACATAGATGAGTATGAATATTGACGATGTAACATTGTTTATGAGGAAAAACATGTATTTCATTATTTTGATAATGCTATATAAAGATGATGGATGTGATAATATGTATATGAGAGTAGTTCGGCTTACATCATGATCATAAATTTCATGTTTTACGGTGGACTCGAAGCTAGGTTCTACGTACTAACCATCGTAAAAAAAGAAAAATTAAACACAATGCTGTAAACCTTGAACCAGATTTGAAACTTTGTTCAATTTGTGCACCGATCCATGGTATTGCAGAGCTGGATAATACCCGATATTTCACAATACGCACTGCACCTATCTTGTCAATTGCATATAATCAAAGTGAAACCCGTTATACTACATCGTTAGCTGAACGTAGAGAAGTCGTCATCACAACGGGATAATCTTGATAAATACTCGTAAGTACGGATCTTACATGAATTATGATACTTGTGATTAATATGAGACACGATTAAGAAGTTAGATAAGTAATGGCTGTCTTTGTTTTAAGTATATAGTTGTGACGACTACATTGACGCGGCATAGTTTGACAGCAAAGATCAGCGTGTCTTTTTTTTGCCTGGCATTTATTTAATTTTATTTAACCGTTTCTATATAGGTTGTAATGTCAATGAACTGACGAATAATCGGAATAGCAGAAGAAATATTTTAAACAAATCAGTTATAAATGGCAATTATCGAAATAATGATCTTTTCTCTAATTATTGCCGTTGATGAACTCAATGTTCAAGGGTTAATATTTATGTATTTAAAGCAAATCTTGTAGAAATGAAGTACATATATGGGCCAAGCTTTGTATTGATAACAGATTTGCTTTTTCTTCGGTATGTTATTCTGTAAGTTAGTTCATGCTTTCTTCAATATTTGCCTTTTTAGAAGTGTTAATATTTTAAATGAGAGGAAGAAAGGTGTATGGCATAACCGACATACCGAGAGACTGGGTATGTGACAGAGACAGAAAGAGACTTTGAGAGAAAGAGTGAGAGAGAAATGGATTGAGAGAGGAGAGAGGGGAATGGGGAACAGAGTGAAAGAGAGAGAGAGAAAAATAAAGAGGGGAGCGTTAGTACTTATATATTTGCTATAACCCCTCTATAAGGTAGAGATATAACATAGGAAGTGGATCTAGATAACTTAAAGTGACTCGGTATTAAACATTTGTGAAGGTTAATGAAAAAAAATTGTATAATTTGTGTACGAAATGTTACTTATTATATTCCTCGTACTGTACTCACCCTCTAACAGGCAAAAAATCCTGAGAAAATCCTCAAACCACAAAGATATTTATGGTTTTCTATGAAGGTGTCACTATGCGCCACCTTTTAACAGTGATTAACAGTAAATTCTCCCTAACCTTTTGAATTTTCCCAACCGTTTTTCCTTGAAAATAAGTCATAAAACAGGCTATACAAAAGTCTGTCGACACTTAAATGTCTGGAATGGTATATACAGCCAATTCTTTGCTTTGTGACGATTGACATTCACCTCAAATGTAATTAAATTTTAATAGTATAGTAGGGAGCATTAAGGAATTGATCAGATCAGTTTTTCACATTTGATATCGTCAATAATGATCCGTTTTCACTAAAACGTACAGATTATCTTTAATTGTACATCTATCATTGAAGTCACTACCCTAGCACCATTTTCTCTTATCTGAACAATGTTATTATGTCCCTTTAAGCGACAGTGATGGAGCAGGCGGAAAGAGATGGAAAGAGAGAGAAATGAAAAAGAGCTAAAAGATGTTGAGAAAGGGGAAGTTGGAAATTATCTTTTTACCTATGAAATAGAGTATTGATAGAGTACAATGAGAATTTTAATAAGGAACGGCCGTTCCCTTGGTATAAGGTGAGGTTGATCAACACTTTAAACATTAAATACAGATATTTGTTAGAATACTAATACGACAGAACGTATTAAAAAATACCAGCCATTAAATTTATTTGTGTGAATTTAATTGATTTATTGTTTTGGGGTATCCAACCCGCCCTGCCCAAGCTTAAGCTTTCCTTCTTTTTTCCCAATATCTCTCTACCTGACTATAACACGCACACGCAATCACATTTTTGTTTCAATTTAATAATTTTGTTTTATTCCTCCAAAAGTGTATTACAAACATACAATTGAATAAAATAAATAAACTTTTTCAATATTGACTGCTTATACATAAACTTAATTAAACTTATATGCAGTACATATAACTGAGCAAGCATTGAAAGTAAACTTTAATATAGTACATAAACACGATTTATGAGTCAATTGTACATATTATACACTTATAATAGCAACAACAAATATTATACATACAATTTTTTTAAAAAATGGAGGTTACACACACATACTCACACACCCTCACACACACACACTCTCTTTGTTTCTCTCCCTCCCCCTCTTCAAACATAAAGTCAACTTTAGGCATTAGCTAGCAGTGTCTATTAAGTACACACAGGGTTTGTTAAGAATACACGCATTCCTTTTATTTATCAAAAAGTTTGTTTTGGTATAATGTACACATATATTAAAGAGCGCATAGATCTAGTCACAACAATCTTCACATTGGCAAATTGCCCATAATTTTCTGTCAACAGTTTGAGAGGCACATACACAAATGTTATTATGTAGTAGTCATTATAGCATATCAGATTCGTATTTGTCTTCCGTTCTATTTGTGCATCCATAGCGAATAAACCAAATTATGGACTGAACTGATTTTTAAATCGAGTAGATGAAAAAGATATAATCCCTTCTGGACTTCTTCATGACGCATGACATAATTTCACACTCTGTTAATATGGTTTAATACTTTGGAAAGCTATAAAGGTATAACGTAATGAGATGTTACGGGATATGTGGTATTATATCTCACATACTAAGAATCTTGCAATCTGATTGGTCTAAACGTAGTCACGTGATCAATGATAGATTTACCATCACTTCATGGCCGTGAGCTAAGGGTGTGCAAACGTACAATCACACTGTGATAGTACTTTTGTACAGTACTTTTGTCACGATTGAAGTATTTATTTGCTGCTGCCCCACTTGCCCATTGAATGTAATGTCTAAATGGAATGTCTAAATATGTGGTAGGCATACGTCCCTTTAATGTGGATGTGGGAAACCCGTTCATATGTGACATTCCATTGCGTGCCTAACTGAAAGCGAAAATGGCAAATTCTAGTCTGAATAGATTATCCGATTGAGTAGATCATTATATCATTACGCATGACATGAATCCACACTCTATATTGTAATACTCGGGTAAGATATAAAGGTATTATTATTATTTATTCGGCAAAACAAAATGTATACAGAGGATTACATAGAAGAACAAATCATACAAAACAAAGGATGAAAATCTTTTAGGAAACAAACATTATCGTGATTCCCATGAGCATTTACAAGTTGCCTGGAATTGGGCAGGCAAACTAAATCACCGAAACCGTGAAGGTCCCCAATTGCGACTTGCAGTACTCACGGGAGATCACTACATAAATACATTGTAACAACTAACAAGAGTATAGCAGCACTCAATATGGCAATGATAAAAGAGCAAACTCAATTTTTTTTAATTAATGAATAAATTACAAATTATTTCATATGTTATTTATAGAAAATTATAAAGAGCCAAGCAATCAAAGCAATAACAAACAAATCAAACATGTCTTCGTATTGGACAATTATAAAGTGGAACAAATAAGAATGATGGACTCCGTCTTGGTAGCAAAATACAGGCTAGGGGTGTCCAGTTATTTGACATAAATATTTTACGGTTGAGTTATACAGAATTAAAATATTCAAATGTGCTTTGTGTATATATTAGATAATTTTAAGGGGAACACAAACAAAAACGGAACTAAGTACGGTGAGTAAAAATCGTAGCTCACTCATTCAGTCGAGAGAATATATCCAATAAATGCATTATTTTACACATTTGGTGAATACACCACCTTTCTCTTACTGAAAGTGTACACACATGATATTTAAAACGAGTATTTGATCCGATTATTTTCTCGATGAATCTTTTTACTCATTAAAGTACATGTAAGTTAAAATTGGATGAGTATTCTCCAACTTTAGTGACCGAATGAGTAAAAATATTCACTAGTGTGTACAGTGGCTTTTTGCTTCCTAATATGCCACATACTCTGTATTCGTTGGATGAGTAAAACACCCAACAACCTCAGTCTCTTCGAAGCTGTACTCGTCTTAGGAGCTATCTTACTCTTTGCATGCGCGTAAATATTTCGCTGATGAATATTCGTACGCGTTCATGATCGTACGTACGTACCCGATCGTCAAGTTTTTAGCGGCCGACGAGCCACAGAATAAGTGTAAGTAGGTTTGATTTTTCTTAATTTTGAATCAGTTAGTAGTTATATTACTGAAGATGATCGCTTGAATTTTATTAAGATAGTTTCTAAAACAAGTTAAGGCTACCGATTAGATATAGAATCTAGATATAGTGCTGACATTTTGAAGCTCTTCTTGTGCACGACCGAAGTGTATGGAGTGCAAGGTGAAGTCCTGCAATCGCGAGGCCCATAAGCAAGGCTATACGGGGCTCTCTCTCTCATCTTAACTACTTAGTAAGATCCCCAGCTCGCATAGAACATCCTGTACATGTATGTGCAGATGTGTCATTTGTTGTGTGTATATAATGGAGAGCACCTATTTACTCACAACATTTGGTTAAAAAACTCACCAATTTTACTCATTTGCCATATAATCACATGTGATGAGCCTAATAAACTGACTGACTGATTAATTGAAGCATTACTCTCTAATTAGTTGAAATGGAACGATTTACTCACAACATTAGGTAAAAAAAACTCACTAATTTAAAATAGTCATTTGCTATGTCATTATAATATCAAATTAACAAAACTCGTTCATGTGCGTTATCAATCCCAATTTAATGAGTTAATGCATACAGTACGAAGGCTCGTGACAAGTCCAAATACTTCAAGTATGATCTTGAAGGTCGACAAATAATCTCTGCTCCATTCGCGGATGAGTTTTGTGATGTTACAAAGGACGCAACAAAGGCTTATTAACCAAATATTATGAGAAATGTTTAGAAACGTAAGAATGAAAAAAGGATGAGAAGATGGATAAAGACATATAGGAGACAGAGTTAGGTGATAGAAATGAAGTTAAATATAGAGAAGAAAACAAAAGGATGAATCGATGAAAGGAATGAGTGGAAAAGTATGGAGTGGAAAATGGATGAATGAGGAAAGGATGAAGAAGTAGCTCGTTCGTTCGTTCGTGCAAAGAATATCAGGGAGTACATCATCTAGATAGGAAGATCCTTATTGAGCCAACAGATCGTCTCATCATCGAGCTCACGAAGTCCGGAAGCGCCGTGGGGGGATTTGTAGATCGGACAATCATCAATGACATGATCCATAGTTTGGATCTCTCCACAGGCGCAGTTTGGTGATGATTCAGCTCCAATTTTATGTAGGAAATATTGTGTGCGGCCAACTCCAGTTCTGACACGGTTTAGGTTGACCCAGGCTTTTCTTGGGAGGTCGCTGCCACTTGGTTTTGCACAGGGCTTTGGGATGAACTCCTTCAGGTTGGTAGTGGACGAATTCCACTGGTCTGACCAGCGTTTTGTTATCCAAGTGGCTAAGGTGGAGGGGGGGGGGGTTCTCAGGCCGCAGCTCAGCAGCCTGTGTTGCAAAGTGTCTTCTAGGGAGACGCTGTCCTTCAAAGGCAGAGGGGGCAGGAACAAGGCATTTATCTCTGTCATGCTTTTGGGCAAGCTTAGCATACTGCGCATCTCGTCTGAGCTGAGCTGGTGGTATGCCAGATAATATTGGCAGGTTGCTGACTGGTGTTGCAGTGAGTGTTCCGCTGATTAGAAGTAGCTATTTTTGGATAAAAAATGCTTCGATAAATAAGAAAATAGGACAGATAGCAAGAAGATTTATAGAGAACAGAAATATGTGACGGTGGGAGAGTAACGGGAAGCCCCCATCACACACTTAAACACACAGAACACAAATAAACACATACACACACTATCTCTCTCACACACACACACACACACACGCACATACATACACTCTCTCTCTCTCTCTCTCTCTCTTTCTCTTCCTCCATTCTTTTCCTCTCATCTCTTCCTTCTCCCCCTCTTTCTCTCCTTCTCTTTCTCTCTCTCTCTCTCTCTTTAAACACTAAATTAACTATGCATACAGGCATCAGACAGTGTCTATTAAACATAAATATATATATATTTATTCAAACAATGATTTGTTAGTATAATGTAAGTAAAACAGATATTAAAGATACTACAAAGTTTTGGGAAATATTGACAATTTGGCTGGATAGTGATTCTTAACAATGTTGGTATATTTGGATGCCCCTGTGGATGTGTACTAAGCAATTTTAGTCCCTAAAACACTTCTGCTTTCGAGAAAAATTGAATATAAACATTTACCGGTGCTCCCGGTAGATTTTGTTAAATTTCAAATAGCGTCTACGGCAGTACAATGGTAGCTGCGACCATGGAAATCTCAGATTAGGGAGTTCTGATATATAAATTCCAAACGGAAATAGCTAACCGGTCGATTTAAGTCAAGAAACATTGTTTTATATAGCTTAATTAATATCTTGACCATACCGATACCGCTGAATATGGGTTATCCAGCCGTTTATTTTATCTTGTAAATTCATTATTCTATTTGCTATTGTTTTACTGATTGCATGATGTCTCTTTATACCGAAATAAAACAAACAAATAAAGGCTATACAACATGAAAAGTTTATTATTTATAGTTTTATAACTTAAGACTCGATTTCAACCGCGACAACGATCACTGGGTATTGTAGGATCGCATATGCTTCCAATATGTTTGTTTGAACCAAATTCATGACCATATACCAAAACTTTGTCTAACCTTTAAGAGTGCAGATATATAATATACATCGCACTAATATTCACAAATCGCCTACACTTGTCTTTCTTTCTATATGTGTGCACTCATATTGTCTAAATATGTGAGAGCAGTCGCGTACGCAGGATTTTGGGGGAAGGGAGTTCTACAGAATTTGAGGTTGGCTGCAAAAGGGACATAGTACCTTTAATTGTTTTTTTGTTTTGTTTTGTTATTAAAACGAAATGAGGGGGGGGGGGTTCCCTCCAAAACACACACACCAACAAATTGAGGGGGGGTCGACCCGTACGCGCCTGTGTGAGAGGCATACATCCCTTGAACGTGAAGGTTTGGAATCCCTAAATTTGACATTCCATTGCACGCCTACGCTGAAAGCAAACAATGGAAACGAATGGACTGAATAGATCGGCATATTGGATAGATGAAAAGAATATCAACACTTTTGACCTCCATATCAAAATGCATGACCTCATTTGACACTCTGTCAGGATGTTGTAATACCTGGGTAAGTTCTGAAGGTAGACGTATAGTGGTTAGGGAATGTTTGTGGGATTGGGTAGTAAGAAAGACATGGTGTATCGGCAAGTGGTTAGGTTTGATACCCTGTGCGGGAATGTACTATGACAGATAAGAAATGTAAAGTCTTTATAAGGATTCGCGTTGATAAGGCAAACTATAACTCGTTTTCGAATTCGCAAGTTACTTCAAATTTTGAAAAAATATGAAAATTCGCTTTGATTCCCTATCTGTTAAACTCATGACGCTGGCCGCCCAGTCCCTATTCCCTTTATCTCAACATATCTTGTCTTTATTCTATTCTTTTATTACCGCCCCTCCCCCCCCCCAACAAAAAAAAGACAGACACAACAATGCTCATTACATACCAATTATATTATATTGTAGTAATGTGAGATTTGTTGCCTTCTGTGGCTGGACCTGGGTTTGGTACAGGCTATAGTTCAGTGTGCACTCAGGCCTCTCTTGCAATGGCTTGAGTGCACGCTGGACAGTGAACTGGGCTTGGGTTCGGTTGCAGGAGGTGACAGCTTTCACATTAGGGACTTTTAGATTTGCACATCGACAGCTTTGACTGCAACGTGTGACTTCATTTTAAGGCATTGCGCATGCGTCACGTCGTCTCAGTCGGCGACCGAGAATGCGTCAACCTTGATTTTCCTAAATCTAGTACAGTACTAGTATATGCCGCGTGCGCATAGAATATACAGTTCCTCTGGTAGACAAAGGAACATCCCTGTCACATGCATATTCACCTGTTCTACTCATTTTTACATAATAGCAGTGAAGGGATGTTCTACCACAGCAATAGGCCATTTTCGTGATGTAACCACATTTAATGCATAAGTCTTTGTGAAGTGCCTCAATACAAATGCAACTGCATATATTAAGTGTTGCTAGGTAAGTCAAGCCATCATGTTGTCCAACCTGGCAACAATTAATGTATGCAGTTTGGATTCTGTCTATTGAAATACTATTAATCTTATTAGGTGAATGAAATAATCTGTATTGAGGCACTTCATAAAGACTTATGCATTACATTTGGTTACATTACGAAAATGGCCTATTGTTGAGGGTAGAATGAGGAACTGTATATTTTGTCCTCTTTCGTTGTCCGTCATGTTCCTAGTGTTACTTACTGCATGCATGTATATCGTCAAGTGCAATCTAAAAGATTTCTAATTGTAGTCAGCATGGGCAGTTGAGTGCGTTGACACGCATGAACAGTCGGCGTTCGTCATGTTCTCGTCCACTCAATCTAAAAGTCCCTATTACTGGAGAAGACATTACTGCAGAGAAGTCACAAGTGGTGCACGTGCATAGTGGGCAATTGAGTTACATGTGAGTTAATCATTCGATTATCCTTATAAATGTTACATTTATTTTTTGTTATGTATGTACATGTACCCTACTTATATGTTTGTTGAACAATTAGTGATGTTCCTATGGATATTGGCAGAATTTGAGTGTGTGATGGGGTTTTGCAATGCGATCCTTTTTTATAGTATTTGAGTGGCGTATGTACATGTCCACAAAGTGAAATCCTAAACTCTCACTTGTTAATTTTATTGGTGGTACGATGTTTTACGATTTTATACAGATTAATGGTCTATTATAACTGAATTGTATGTATTCATACCTTTGAATTTTGCTGTATGTTAATTGTAATATATTACGTTTTATCCCTCATAGGACCACAAAGACTGTATTGTACAAGGGCGTACGTTGAAGTCAAGCTTTTTTTTATATAGTGTGGGCGGTGAGTCTTATTGTTTTTCAATTTGTATTAAAAAAGATATTGTTTGCATTATGTATTGAATGAATCTGTTGTTACTTTTTACACTTCAATTGTAATTTAGGTTTTGCTTAAGTGATGTAAGGCATTATATTGTGAAATGAAAAGTTAACTGTCCTTCAGCCGTTATATTAGACATGATATATTATTTAATTTAACCTGTTCATTGAAGTCATGAAAATAATAGTGATGATTATTTAGTTGATACAATGTTTGAAGCTGGTCTATAATGAACTTATTTACTGAACACCTTCTTTGTTGCTGATACAGATCATGAAGTATATAATTATGTAATTGGTTATTTGAATATTATGATGTTTTTAATTTACATTTGTTTTTACACTTGTGTTTCTACAGGTGCTGTTTTGTTGCCTTCAAAATAAAATAACCAAACATCAACTGCAAAGCGTCTGAGAGTGAATCATTTGGCCTTTCTTTCAATATAATTATTAAAAGTATGATTTCGTCAATTCTCTTTTACTTTACTTGTTTATATTACTTTTCGTTTTGCGGACCTCAAATTAAAAAGATGAATAATTATTGTTTGTGTCACCTGAAATGATGATGGACTGGTTCATTCTTGGTGAGGTGTTCATGTTGTTTTCCCCTTTCCTTACACTCGAGGACGATCTTGACTCCTTGTAGTTTAATTATGGCAGAATTTTTTTGTTTTCCTTGCGTAACTCGTAAGCCACCTCAGCAAGGTGGCCACGCCGGGCTTTCAAGGTGGGAGGGAGGTTCACACCACAGTCATCCGGGGAGTAGGAAGCGGGTTACCTACGGCTGCTTCTGGGGTTCCCTAGGTCGCTTCTGGTTCTCAAAAGTGGATAGGATGAAATCCCGGTCAGTCATCCGAACAAACTTTGCAATGATCGGAGCAAATTACGTCAGTGAAGTCTAGAAAGTAAATGGGTTTCCTTGCATAATTTGAATACTAGGACACTGCTAACGTTTACATTTCACAGATTGCACATACGCGACATGTTCATAATTCCTGCAAAGTTTTACAGAATTTGATGTTGGCTACAAATGGGACAAAGTACCTTTAAGGCAACGAAACATAAATAATTTCCTACTACACTTTTTTGTGAGATCGGATACAGAGGGAGACAGATTAAGAGAAGAAGATGGAGGCAGAGCGAGGGAGGGAGAGGGTGAAAGAGCAAGAGAAAGGAGAGAGAGAGATATATATTATATAGCAGTATAGAGAAGGAGAGAGAGGGAGACGAGGTATAGTTTAATATAACTAAAAAAACGAGCCGAACAGGAAAATAAAAGATGAATCAGAATAGAGGGAGAACGTAAGCCAGAGGCGGAAAAGGGAGAGGATGGGAGAGTTGAGAAAGAGAGAAGCAGAGACAAGGGAAGACAGAGCAAGAGTAGAAGAGGGAGGCAGAGCAAGAGAGAGAGAGAGAGAGACAGAGACAGAGAAATTGAGAGGTTGAAATAGAAGAGAGAGAGAGAGAGAGAGAGATAAATAGACGGAGCTAGAGAAGGAGAGGGGGCAGAACAAGAGGGGGAAGTGAAACAGAGCAAGAGAGATGATAGTTTCAAAGATTTCGAAATGTATTGAAACCAATATTAATATCCAGTGGTGTGTTCGAAAGAAAGTGTAAACAATAATGGGTTATGTAATTTTGTGGAAAAAGAATGTAAACCTTTTTTGAAGACTGGGAGGTGTGTGTATATTATGTTAGTCTTGAGACGAGACTAGAAGTTCTGAAGATGGATCGTGACATTTTTGTTGTAATAAAAACACCTGTAAATATTTTGTAAAAGGCTTTAAAACATGATTTATTGGTTTTATATACGTATCTACTGGGATACACGCACCTAAACCTTTCTTCCTTTTCTTACAGACCTTTATTATATTACGAAGCGTTTTGCAATGGTACTTTCGCGTTCAACCCTGATTTGTTTTCAGTCTATTTTAATAATAATAATAATAATAATAGTGGCCTATTATATAGCGCACATGTCCGTCACGTTGTGAAGCTTCTGGCGCTACCCCGATTATTACCCTAGCTTTAGCAATGCAGCCACTACGGCGCTCTAGCATTTCAATGAATTAATTCCTGCCAGGTACCCATTTACATCACCTTTTTATTCAATGTATTCAATTTCTAAACTCAAATATACATGTATTTATACAGGATACACAATATCAGTATTGTAAGTATCTTCCATCTTGGGTCTGGTATTAAAAACAAAAGATATGAAAATCAGAAAAGTTAAACATTAATTTATTATAGTGAACACTTTAACAAGGGGAAAAATGTAAATCAGAGTAATACAAAATATGATTAATCTAATATTATAATTATTTCAAAGGTGGCACGAATACAATCAGGGAAGCATGGATCAGGAGGTATACTCGTGGGGTCTTGTGATCGTGGTGGCACGATTCTTCTCGTTCTGTCTGGACCTCGGAATCACCAAATCATTCGGCGTAATGATCCCCGAGATGGTAGAGCAGTTCCAAGTCTCAAATGCTACAATAGGATTTGTGACGACATTTACACCCGCAACCACATACCTTGCATGTAAGATTTCTTTTGTACCATTGTTTAGAAAAAGAAAAAAAATTAGAAGTTTATTGCTTCATATCAGAGTACATACAAATCAGCTTGTGAAGAACATTTACATCAATATAACGAAAACATAGTAATGAGTGGTACATTATGAAATATAGCGTACCTAAAACAGTGGAGATAACATTGATAACACCTTTTCTTTTCTTCTTACTCTTTTCGTTCCCTTTTAGCTCTCCTCTTTCATTTTCCCTTCCTTCTCTCCTTTTTGGGGGCGGGGATTGGGGCGGCAAGGGCCTCCCCCCCCCCCCCGAACTACAATTTGTAGGCGGGAAAATTGCAACTGACACCCCCTCTTTTCTTTTTTTCTTCCTCTTTTTTTTTTACTCATCTTTATCTCCTCTTTTCCTGTTTTCTCTCCCTTTCTACCTTATCTCTTATTTTTGGGTTTTTTTTTTTTGGGGGGGGGGACAGCTGGGAGGCAAGACCCTTTAGGCCCTACCCCCGATATCCTTCTTTTCCCCCTTTTTCTTTTCTTCTTTCTCTTCTTAATTTCCTTTTCTCTCCTCTTTCCTTTTCCCTTCTTTTCCTCTCTTTTTCTCTTTCTCTCTCTCTCATTTTTTTTTTGCGGGGGGGGGGGGGGGAGGAGGCCCGCTTGGCACCCCTAGATCCGCGCCTGCGTCCCAGGACTATTTAGAGGAAAATGTTAGAGCTCTGTAGGATCTAGGATCATAGTGGAGAGAGGAAGGAAGAAAAAATGGCGTTAAAACTGATAAAAATCGACAAAATGGCGCTTGGACGGTTATGCATGATTGATTTCGAAAATCGAAGAATGTGGTGACCTTCATTAGATGCTAGAGACTATGCCTACGAAATTTGAAAGGAAACGGACATGAGAAAAGGGCATAACTAGTTCAAAACGAATGCGATTTCCTGACGAAAACACTAAAGAGAAAAAGAATATTAATGGAGCAGAATGTGAACGAAAACAAGGCAATGACGATATTCTTCATTGCAATTATTTTGTTTCCAATATTTTTGCCCCGACAGGGATTTTATTGATTTCCATTTGAAACAAATTAACAAATATATATTCAAGGTAATTTACATTTATATCATAAATAAAATTGGCTTCTCAAGATACGAGTATTGCTGAAGTGTTGAGTTAAAGTGAAGGTTGAGTTCTGGGAAGAGGTGAAAAATAATTTGTGAGCATTACTCATTCTTATTATGCAAGTGTGGGAGAACATCAGTTAAGACAATGTTCCCTGAAAAGCATGGCTCTTCAAATGCCTTCATATTCTAAATATGCATGTTATATCGTAAAAATCGGGGGCCGGCTTTTTACGCCACGTGTTCGTGTAGTCCCATATACATCTTTCTGTGCAAGTGTTTGTAACTTTACCAAGACTTGCCAAATTTCTTATCATTTTGATGATTCCAGAACCTTGCAATACACACAAATTCTTATATGCTAGATGATCAACCTTTTCTGGTCGGTTCCACACCGTTTCTTTCACAATGCAATCGCATGACCAGAACTCAACTTCATCTTTAAGAGAAAATAATTCACTTCTGCTATTCATGAAAAGAAAAGAAAACAATAATTTTATGTAAACAAATTCCTGAACTGAAACAATTTTCTTGTGAATTTATTATTTCTTTAATTCGAATTTGCAATATACTTTTCGTTTTTGAAGTAATTCATAATCTAAACTCTAACACTATCAAAGTCGGGCAATTGTTTCTTTATTGTGCAAGTATACACCATCTGTCGCACCACAATCAGTATACAATTCAATGTATAAGTATTTGAACTACTTTAACCAAATTATTTATCTTGTAATAAAAATGTTAATTTATTTCCGGTTCCAGTATAAATCCAGTGCTCCAACCTATCCCAAATATGTTTAAGATGCCCACAATCACATAGCAGATGTATAACTGTTTCAATTTGTTCATAACAAAATGTACGTTCGTTTCTTGGGACTAAATTCATTTAAACAATAGATCGTTCGTAAGTAATATGCGTTGCAAAACTCTAAACTGAAACCATCCTAAGCCCACAGCAAGGGTACAATTAAATTCAAAAGAACAATATGTTTCCCAACTCTTATCATTCAGGCCGAAAATGCATTTCCACATAAGACAACTTTTACATAGTCCTTTTCTTCTCTTTAATAAATGGCATAGATATGTGAAGAACCTTTAATACGTTTCATAACAATTGCCATTGAATTGCCGTTGAAAAAATAGTACAATTGTTAAACCCTTGTCTAAATGCATCGCATAATCCACGATAAAAAATAAAATATATTTGAATATTATACTTTTCTTGGACGCGAGAAAAAAATCTCCATTTGTCTCTAAAATATCTTTGACAAAACGAACTCCCTTTTAACACAATTTTATATTAATTATATTGAGCTATTGTCTATTTTAATTTAATCATTGTTCCATAAAGGTTGGTAAGGGTTGCTAGGTGAGACAAGCATTAATGCATTTCTTGCCTGGCGGCACGAAGTGTGTGCGGTTTGCGTTCTGGCTGTTGGGATGCAGTTATTCGTGGCGGGTGGGTTGGATGGTTTTGTGGCGGGGCGCTCGTCTGGGCTTCGTGCATTGGATTCGGTTTCGTGTGTTTTTTAATTATGCCAACAAGGTTCTGGTTCGTAAATATAGCTGCTCTAACTCTGAATGTTGTCAATGTCTCCCATAATTTGTGTAGTCTAATCACGAGTGCAAATTAGACCATTCCGTTGGTTAAGCTTAGGATCTGTATTCTTTTTTAAAGAAAGTTTTTCATATTACGTTACATTAGGTTATTTAAAAATATAAATTATATTTCATGTTTAAAGTGCGCATTAGATTGAGCTTAATCTGTATACTTAAAAAAATAGATTCTTTATTTTCACAATTCATGATATTAAAGTTACGAGAATATCAAAAGACATAACTCGATATACTCGCATAATTAATTTGAATAGCTGTATTAGTGTCCCATAGGCTACAAACACTTTGCTTTTGAGACCTGCGAGTAATTATGATAATGTTGCCATTTTTTGTTTTACTTATGTTTTCTTACAACACTTTTATTTTTAGCACTAGCACAGCCATGTACACAAGAAGGTACACACGCTCACAAAAAGTCATACCTTTTTATGCGTTTGTTGGAAAATAAAGAAATTCCCAAATTACAGTCAGGCGAAATACGCTTATTAAGAAGCCTTTATGTCATGGTCTGCAAAGTGGCTGGGTTCGAGCCCCCCCCCCCCCCCCCCCTCCTTTTTGAAAGAGTATGTTAAAGAGAAAAAAAGAGAAATGACCTGCCAATTTCACAAATAAGGTATATAAAATGCTCATCTGACCGTTATTAAATGCTTAAAACCCCAGAGTTTACGGGGGCTCCGCCCCCGGACCACTCCCAACGGACCTAAGGCGGGCCCCTGGATGCTCATCTGACCGTAATTAAATACCTAAAACCCCTGAGCTTCCGGGGGCTCTGGCCCCTGGACCCCACTAAGGGCCCTACGGCGGCCCCTTGGATGCTCATCCGACCTTAATTAAATACCTAAAACCCCTGAGCTTCCGGGGGCTCTGCCCCCTGGACCCCAACAAGGGCCCTAAGGCGGCCCCTGGATTCTCATCTGACCGTAATTAAATACCTAAAATCCCTGAGCTTCCGGAGCTGTGCCCCCTGGACCACACCAAGGGCCCTAAGACGGCCCCTGGATGCTCATCTGACCGTAGTTAAATATTAAAACCTCTGAGCTTCTGGGGGCTCTTCCCCCTTGGAACACGTCAATTGCCTTGCACAGGGCCCCTGGATGCTCATCTAACCGTAATTAAATAGCTAAAACCCCTGAGCTTCCGGGGGCTCAGCCCCTTGATCCCCTGCCGAGGCTTATGCCCTGGACCCCACGCCAATTTACGCGCTACCTGATCGATAATACTCCACTTTTGAAAACCTTCCGCGGGACCTGCATGTAACGTGTAAGACTGGTGGTAATGCAGATTTTTCGTCTGCCCCCCCCCCCCATCCCAAACTGCTTCCGGCGCGCCTGATAATAGTTTATATATTTATGGGGTTTTGGGGGTCAGAGAATCTGATTTTGATGTTCTTTCATCGATTTGAGGTCTCCTAGGGTCTGCCATACTGGTCATATTGGTCAAATACAAAATGGTCGCCATCTGATAGTTACACATCAAGTGTAGTTACGAAAGGAAATGGGCTAGTATGATAAAAGTTTATATATCTATGGGGTTTTCGGGGTCAGAGAATCTGATTATGATCTTCTTTCATCAATTTGAGATCTCCTTGGGGCTGCCATACTGGTCATATTGGTCAAATCCAAAATGGCCGCCATCTGATAGTTACAGGTCAAGTGTAGTTACGAAAGAAAATGGGCTAGTATGATAAAAGTTTATATATTCATGGGTTTTCGGGGTCAGAGAATCTGATTATGATATTCTTTCATCGATTTGAGATCTCATCAGGTCATACTGGTAATATTGGTCAAATCCAAAATGGCCGCCATCTGATAGTTACTGATCAATAGTAGTTCCAAAAGGGAAAGAGCTAAAATGATAAAAAATAAATAAATTATATAGTAAGGGGGTTTTCTGGGTCAGAGAATCTGATGATGATGTTGCTTGTATCAATTGCAGGTCTCCTTAGGGCTGTCATACTGGCCATATTGGCCAAATAAAAAATGGCCGCCATCCGAGTTAAAGGTCAAGCGTAGTTTCAAAAGGAAAAGGACCAGTATTATAAAAGTTGATGAATTCATGGGGTTTCCGGGCTCAGATAATCTGATTATGATGTTCTTTTATCAATTTTATTTCACCATCCTGTCCTAAGGCTACAATGAAGTCCATTTCCTGGTTGAAGAAGATGAGGGGAAGATGCGCCAAATTCACACTTGAGTGGGTTTAAATCTTGGCCTGTGCCCATATGTTTCATCAATATGCAAACTTTCCTCTGTGAAATGCATAATAAATTCGTTTTTGAGGAT